TTTTGGTTGTCTATTTAAGTAGTTTGCTCTAGATTCTACACTAGCTGCTATACCTATAACCCAACTAGGAAGTTACCTATTTAAATCCTCTGGCTACCACTTTTGTAACATGCCCTACCCTAACACTTATACAAGATTAGCAATTGTTGTGGATGATTCTAAGACTTTAGCCAAACTATATTGGGGCATTTATTTTTGTAATAAATCTAACAGAATAGTACATGTCCCACCTATGTATTCACCTGCATGTTTCGATAACTTTCACCTAACTAGTATCTGTTGTGCTACTATTATCGAGTTTGTGTCTCAAGCTATCTTTTCAGATACTGCCATAACCCAATCCATATTTCAAGCCACAACCTTCCTAATTAGAATCCTGTTATGTACTCTTCACTCTTGTGAGGTTCGCAACAACCTCAGTATCTACATTCTAACTTCCTTTTTCTTTGAATTCCTTACCGATCCCTCCCTTATTTCTAGCCAGCAACCCAAAAGGGTTGGTCTGCCCAGGCTTTAGATGCCTTACAATCACCCTCCTCTTGGCATATGCTTCCAGAGCACAAGTTCTTTTCCTCCAGTTGGTGTTCTGGCGGTTCAGCTGATATATCCCCCTACTTAAGGATCTGGTCATTTGGTTCTTTGGTCTTAGTTCTTGGTTCCAAATTTGGCCTTCCTGTAGTACTATCAAAGATCACTGCTACTCCACACTCGGAACTTGCCAAACAGGTTTTTAGTAATTCTGGTTTCCTGAATTTATTGTGCTGAAGCTCCCATTTGAAATAGTATAACCAAGATTATAGATATCTGAATCCAACCAATAATCTTAACGTTAACCGATACAGATCTAGTTTTTTCAAAATCGTCATCTGTGAGATTCAAACTCTAGACCTGCTATCTGGGGGTGCGACAACTCCACCACTTCACTAAGTCACCACACTCTCTTTGTGAAATATATATTAATTAATGCTTTATTAATAAATATTTATATTTTTAAAAATTTTGAATAGTTTCATAATTTTTTGCATTATTTTAAAAATTTTCAAAAATTCGTAGTTTATATATAAATATTATATAAAGCTTTAATATATTTTTAAATTTTTATATTTATTTTTCTGATTTTTGCATTATTTTAAATTTATTCTTATTAATTAATTCTTCTGTTTATATTTATAATGCTACAATTTTTAAGGATATTTAATTTCTAATTTATAAAATGGGTTAGATATAGGCAAATTGTAAGAGTTTTCAAAGAAAAGAGTTAGGCTTGAAGAAGGTGTAGTGAGGTTAACAGGGTAATATTGTTGTGGTTGCTTGGAGCAAGGTCAGATTGTGATCTTGAAGTATAGTAGGGGATCCAGATATGTGTATAGATTTGTTGATTAAAGTGGGGAAAAAATTGAATAGTAAGAGAGCAGGCAGAGTTGTTAGAAGCAGTATAGTCTCATATAGTATTTATAATATCAACTGGAACAAAACTAGTGATTGTAGAAAACAGCGATGGTTTAAAAGTAAAAGCATGAATTTGTAGACTATCAAGGTTTTTAATTTGGCTAAGAAGGTGTTGTATTTGGGTATATAAGATTTGAAGCTTGCTCAGAGTTAGGATATATTGTAGTGATATATTAAGGATTTTTTAGTATTAGATCAGAGGAAGGGCAAAATGCCCAGTGAAGTGCCTCAGTAGGTTGTTGGCAAATATGAAAGGAGTTTGGGTAAGAGAGATATCTTTTATGAAAGATATATGGAGATAGAAGATCAATGAGTAGCAATTTAACTCTGAATATTTTAAGTGTTGATGATTAAAAGCTATGCACATAATTTGAAACTTTCTGATTGTTGTTAAGGTATAGCCAAATAGTGTTTCAATAAATGTTTTGTGAAAGAGAGGACCATTGTTGAAACTGATATTGAGAGGACCATCGTGCAAAAATATTTGTATAACAAATAGTTCAGGTACTATGGCAGACAGGAAGCTCAAGAGGGGAGCTATTGCAGAGAGAAACGAATTGGGTGTTATATATATTATTAGATTTAAAAGTGAGAATTGGTGCATCAGAGTGGTTGCAAGCTAGTTCATTAGCTTTATTATTAAATTTGTTATCTTGGTGTGCAGACACTTTGTGGAAGGTAACTAAAAGATTAAGTAAAGAACAGAAGTTTAAAAGTGTTTTCTAGGTAGACCAGTAGAAGGTATTTGAGAAGTTTGCTACTGTAGAGGAGTTTAAGAGGCTATTATATTTGGAGATCACAGATTGAAAGTCAGTGTAGATATGAATAGTAGAGTTTTGAGGAACAGTACTAATAGCTAACAGAATAGCGAGAAGTTCTGTTTTAAAAGAACAAGGCCAGAGTTTGATTTGTGCTTGAAAGATATGCTGTATTGTATAATTGTTGATTTGTAGCCACCCAATACCATATTTTAAATAATTTAAATTTATGATTGTTGCAATCTTTTATAAATGTAAAAAAGCCATAAAGTTAATTATCAAAATATTTTGAAACAATATGCAAATGTTTTTGAAATATTTTTGTCTGTTTTTCGAAATTTAATTTTCAAATATTTCACAAAAAATTGCAAAATATTTCAAAATTATTGCAAAATATTTTTGTAACTTAATGTTTTTGAATTTTTTCAAAATATCTTTTGAAATATTGCAACTTGTAAAAATCTTGCAAAATTTTCGCTTTACTTAACTTGTTAATATAAAAAAGAAAACCAAAATAAAACCAAAAAAACAAATAAGATTTAATTATGAACAAAGATCTTGTTAAAGAAAAAAAATAAACAAAAATTAAATCTAATCTTATAATATAAGTTTTGTATATTATTGAAATGATTTGAAAATATTAGTTTAATATACTCTTGGTATAATCCAGATTACATATTTACTAATCTAGCTTGTTTTCACAATATGTTGAAGAACCTCAAATTATTTCTAAAATTTTTACAATATTTCGAATATTTTTATCTAAAAAATATTTTGAAATAAATTGCAAAATATTGTGAAATATTTTGCAAATTATTTCAATTTTGATTTTTCGAAAGTTTTCAAAAAGTTTTGCAAAATATTGCGAAATTTTGTATGAATATTTCAAAATTTTGATTTTTCGAAAGTTTTCAAAATATTTTGTACTATATTGCATTGTTATTGCATATCGCAAAATCTTGTGCAATATTTCATATATATAAATTTGCTAATGCTCATACTCTTCTAATTTTTTATTTTTTATATAATTTTATTTGTTGAACTCTAACTTACTATGTAATAAGAATTTTTTTGCACTTATCTAAGCCTGCAAAGTGATTAATAGCTTCTTTTGATTAAAGTGAAAAGAACAGTTAAAAAAATAATAGTTATCTTTACTTAAACAGCTTTAATTATCCTATATGTCTAAATATATATATATATCTTTGTATATTAAATATTTAGCATCTAAATTAGTATATTTAAACATATCTTGGTACTATATATTCAAATAAGTATATATCAAAAAGAGAAGCTGATCATTTTTATCAAGAAATATTTTTGTCTCAAAGAGGCGCACCTTTGGTGCTAAAAATTCTTGACAATATGCAAGCTAATATATATTAATGATAATACAATAAAATAAATTTACAAAATATATATGCAAAAGTAAATGCAATTATAGATATAAATTCAAGCTACTAGAACCAACTTTATTGATATAACAAAAATATATATATATATAAAATATATTATTGTACTGTTTCTTATAATGTGAATAACCAAATTTTTTCCATATTGTTCAAATTAAATCAGGCTTTCAATCATCAGACAAGTATAAATTATCTCTATTCTAAAATATTTGAGCTTATATTACTAGATCTTCTTTTTGCCTCTAGGAGATAAAAAGTTCAACCAAACATTGAGTCAGTATAAACTAGCTTGATCTTGTGCCTACTAGAAAACTTTTTTCACAAACATAACATTTTTCAAAGTCAATAGTAAATGTATGAGATCTTACACACCATGAAGTATTCTTAAAAGGTATTTCGGCATAGTCAAGACAGAAGTACCTTGATATCTTACCAGTATCTTTTACCAAAACATTTAGATACAGTATCTGATTATGAGGGTTTATCACTTAATTTAAAATCAACTAATATTTTGCGAGTTCCTGATTTTACAACACAGAAATAAAATTAGCTAAACTTAATAAATGTCCAAAAATATTCATATATTAATTACACTAGAAAACAACCGTTTCGTGCTAAAATTAGTTAAAATGTTTCTAATTATTGTTCTTTAACTGGCGTTTATATTCTTTTACTTTCCATATATGATAATCTAAATGTGAAAGACTAATATTATGATTTGATGTTTTTCAGTAGTTATGACACAAATGGCGCAAGTAGCTAAAAAAACCCATCGTAAGCCCGTGTCCGATTAACTTAGTAAATCTAAAATTGTAAGCTCAATTTCACATAATAAAATCCCATAGCATAATGATAACTGCTTCAAATTACCTCAATAATTCTTTAAATTCGGATGAACCTAGTTCTTCAATAATGTATCCAACTTGTTCAGGAGGAATATAATAACTTGTCCTTCTATCTATATAATCATTCGCAATCCTCTGAACTTGTTGCTATGAATATAATTGTAATGAAGTAGCAAAATTTTGCTATAAAAGTTAAAAGTAAAGACAAAAGATGAAGCATGCTGTTTACCTCTATCTTATCAATATGATAAATTGACAATACCAACATTGGAAATAATGTTCTTTCCGTTACTAACTTAGTGGCAAGTAAAGGACATGACCGATATATACCATCATAGTGTAAATCCATAAAATATGAATTTATATCATCACCTGGATTATTAAACATATTTATTAAAATCATAAATATTTTAAAACGAAAAACAATACATACCCATGTTTAAAAAATAACCGATTGATTTGAACCATCTTTATTTAACAGCTAGTTTATTGAGCTCTTAGACCGTAAATGGACCTTAGCAAAATCTTTACTTTTTTGTAATTCTGTGCAACCCAATGGCTTTACTTCGGAATTTAATATTGCAACATTATCGATTCTAAAACTAAAATCTGGTCTTCTCAGTGATCCATTTACGCTTTTATCTAACCTTATTTCGTAATCTTTTGAATCTCCACAGAAAAATGGTCTCAACAAAGGATCTAAATAGTTAAATCGATGCACATTTTCAGTGATCTTTTTTGTTTGCACTGATGGTAAGTCTTCTTTTCTAGGTATCAAAACCAAATCAATTCATAGTTCATTGATTATTTCATATAATATTAAAAGGATTTTGACAGCAACATACAGATTATTAAATACTCGGCTAGCTTTTTTACTAAGATCACTTTCACCATTTGATATGAAATTATCATCTAATCCTATTGCAATGTTATTGCATGCTTCAGATAACGAAGATGCAAAAGAGTTGGTCCAAACCGATTCCTTGATAATGTAAGGATTGGCATTAACTACTTGTTTCCATTAATAAGAGGTAAACGTAGAATACGGGCATTGTTTGACCAATACTATTATTGATGCAAGTGCTCTAGAATATATATGAGAAGGTTAAATTAGTACATTTTCAATAAACAAAATTATTTTAAAATACTTACAATATTTCATACTTGTCATTCCATGCTAATTTTACTTTACCCTCTATTACGTTATCGATTAACTGCATTTGGTATTCTTTAAACTTTCTTGACACATTAATTGTGCCTACGATCCACTAAAACAACATTACAAAATTTCTTTTATATATATATATATGAAACTAATAGAAATAAAAAATTCAGTTTATTTCGAACCTCATTTCTTGATCGAGATTCTAGTCGTTTTTTTGATCTACCCAATTTGATAATAATTGCCTCACTCTCCCTTTCATCACTCTCGTTCACATCACTCTCGTTATCATCTGTTAAGTTCGGGAGGGAATTGGAAGATCTATTCAAAGATTGGGTGGATTCTTTTTTCACCTAAACCAAAATGTTAATTAAGTTTTAAAGTAATTAAAATAGCGCAGGTATATTTACTCTCTTTGGTTTATTCTCATAATCTGAATCCGTCTCCTCTTCTAATGAGCTTTCGGCATAGTTTACTTGATTTCTTCTTCTCAACGCTCTTCCGATTGAAGATGAATCTCTTTTGATGAATGTTTCTGTTCCATTTATAGTTCCATTATTAGTTCCATTGGTTATAGCAGTCCCATCCACAAACGTTGGTTGGTATAGGTGAATTTGTTTGCTTGAACGTTCTTTCTCGCTTTTTTTCGATCTGTTTGAGGATCCTAGCATGGAATATTTGAAAATTAGTAGCATCCTTTGCTAACACACTTCAGGGTCCCTATCCATTTCGGATCCCACCAAAACATTAGACAACCGAGTGGGTCATTTGTGCCCAGTGGGTCCAATGCCTGCTCGGCGAGTAGCCTTTGAACATCAGACAACCGAATGGGTCACCTGTGCCCCAGCATTGGTTTTGTAGCTTGGCGAGTGGCCTTGAATGACAGAGAACCGAGTGGGTACTTTCTGTCACGCTACTATTTTTTCACCTATATTAACAAAAAGATTTACTTGCCTCTTTGTATCTATTAAGAAGTGTCTCAGCTCTTTCCTTCCTCTTGCCTTTATCACGGCCAGCAATTGTATCAAGACATCTAAGGTATTGATCTATCTTTCGTTCGAACGGTTCCATATAACATTCGTTTAGGAAATCTATGATGTTCCATTTGTCCGAATTGCGTTTGAAGAATTCGTACATTTCGTTTCCCGACATGATTAATGAGAGTTCCGAAGTTGTTGAAAAGTGATCTCGTTGATTGGATTTTACGACCACGTGCGTGATAACAGCTAATAGATTAGCGTTAGGGTGTTTCATATCAGTCTAATTACAAACATAGTGCAGGTAAGATTTTTTATAGTAAAAATTTTCGGATCTGCATGCTATATTAAATAATTATAAAAAAATTGAATTTACTACGCCTTTAATTCCTCCTGTAATTTTTAACATTTTTTAATTCTGTAAAAACAAACTGTTCAATGAAATGTGTCTTTACATCGTAACAACGTTAGAATTTTATTTTACTAATTTTAATATATCACGGCTTATCGAGGTGTCGCCTGTAATATTACAAACGTAATGCAGGCCAACGAATTACTGTATGGCCTGCATTAAACGGGGGTAAAATCACCACCCAAAAAAATTTCGAAAACACGTGATACAAAATCGGGAGTTTTAATTGAATGCGTAACTCAAAGATGAACGATTTGTAAAAAAAAAAGCTTACATACATGAAAAACATCCCAATATCTTAAAATAATACATTGTATCAAATATTTTTATTATTAGCTACTATATCCGATATTTTACACTTGTGTATCAAAGTTAAATTTTTTTTAAAAAAAACTTATTCTCATAAAATATAATGCATATAAAAATTAGAATAGCAATAATATATCATTATTTATTTAGCTAAAATAAAACATGACTCAATATTACAACCAGAAAGTATTATTGTTGCGATTTTTCCAAGTATTTGGAATGTGCGTTTGTCTTTCAAATCGTTTACAATCTTCCACTAATTTCTATAATGGTTCAAAGTTTTTTTCTATGCTATCGAGCCATTTGTTTGGATTTTCTACATTTTTTTCAAGGATATTTTTAGTTTCGTCCAACAAATTAAAAATTTCTTTTTTTCGAGTTTGAAACAAGATTAGATCTTGATCATCATTGACAACATCCATTGAGTATTCATTAACAACATCCATTAAATATTCATTTGAACTAATTGTAACAGATTCTTGTTCATGAACTTGATTATTAACTTGTGAACCGGAGGAAATTAATTCGTAAGTATAGGAATTTAAATTTTTAATTGATGCACGAATATCTTCAGGCAAATCAGCAAAAGCATTTTCTTCTTTGATTTCTAATAAGGGATAATGCTCTTGACGTATTACTTTAAAATAAAAAAGATCAGTATAGTACTATAATTTAAATAAAGCAAGTAGTTATTTTTTACAATACCTTTTTAAAAAATCCTGGCTCAACGGGACCATAAATTTGTATCAAATGTTTGCATATGTGAAAGCGACTTAAAAGAGAACTATAACATGAGCAGATCTACCGTGAAGAAACAGTAATATGAGTAGAATTAGGATTGACTGTTTTAGTTGTCAATTTTTTCCATTCAAGTCAAAAATTTTCTCGCCATTTTGTTATACACCGATTATCATGTAGTAACTGTAACTGATCAATTTGACGTAGTATAACTTTCATAACAATGATATAAATAATTAAATCAAGTTGTGCATGATTAAATCTTGAAAAAAAATCATGTTTTAAAACTCGCCAATGGCTTTCAATTGCCATTGTACTTCGTAAAATTCTAAGTTTTGGATTCAATGCTTGTGCCCATAGTTTCTACATTTTGGGATAGTACCATTCCGTCCACAAATAGAACTAAACATGTTTCAGATCATTTTTGTAACAATAATTATATTGTTCCTTGACACTTTCACTCCAAACTTGGTTCATATTTAAAAAATTTGGTGAACGCTCTATTGGTATCATAGGATGCCGTGAAAAATGAATATGAACCATTTGAAGAATTGTTTCACAAAAATTTTTTTGGCAAAAAACTTTTTTTCATTATTGTTATTATGATGTTCTTGATTTGTAAGATCTGTGAATGCTTTATTTAGATTAACTGGTTGCCATGCAGGATTAATTGTTGAACAAAGCAGATATGTCTCATATGCATTATAATGATTATGTATGATACCGGTATTTGAAAGTTTCTTTTTGATTGCACGTATTACGTGCCAATAACATAATTGGATTTTTGCCTCAGTTCAAATTTTGTTAGCAGCCGTAATTTGTCCACGATCCTTGTCTATCAAAATAGTTTCAGTATTTTGAATCCCATTTTCTTTTAAAGCTTTAAACCATGCTGTAATTGCTTGTGTTTTACCATCTGGATGCTTCGGTTCAAGAAAAAAATATGAGAGTGGAAATCCAGCGCCATCGATAACTCTAAGAACTGTAAATAATTCAAACTTTAAACGATTTGTCCTATAAGTAGAATCGACAATAATAGTTTTTGTAGCTTTATTCGGCAATATAAATAATAATGGAGTTAAAAAAGCTAATGAATGTTGATCTTGGCATATAAGTTTAAAATTTGAATTATTTTCTAAATATTGTCGTGCAGATTCCAATTGATCATCCGCTAATTTATATTCCTTTGTAGCAAATTTTTTAAACCAATAGTAAACTTGTTGTTGGGTAATATATAAAAATTCATCGATTTTTTTTTCTTTAATGTTATTATAAAGCTGTGGGACTGTCAGCAAATTATTATTAATAATATAATCACGGATTTGTGAAGAAACTTCTATTGCTTCAGGTGGTGGGTAAAGATAATGGTAGATATTAACTACTGCCCAGTTATAAATTCGTTCTATATTAATTTGAATCGTACCACTACAAGCATATCAAACAATTCTTGGCATTGTATCACACCGATTTGAAATATTAGCAACTCATGCCTTTTTATTTTTTAATTCCTCACGACAGTTGCAATAATAAATGAATGAAATTGAATCTTTTAATATATTACGTTTATGGTAAATCTAGGAAAATCCATCCGCTTTTGAAATAAGGTTAATTATATGTTGTGCAACCTCCTTATCATTGTTTACTTGATCTTCCAAATTTGCATCAGCATTGTTTAATAATAGCTCTAAGATTATAAAAAACCTTTTCTCAAATAGATATTCGTCATAATCATAATCTACTGGAATGAAATTAAAAATGAAATCCACAAGGTTCTCTGGTGCTATCACGTTTTCTTGATTTGCAATTATGGATTTATTTTTTTGTTCACTCTTTCTTAATTTATTATTTGCAGAAATTTGGTTACGACATTCTATACATGTTTTTAGCTTAGTACATGTATCAACATTTTTGTGTTTATTAGTTTTTAGACTTTCAAAAGTTTCATTTGGTTTGTCAAGATTACAACGATTACACTTCATTATTTTGAAAAAAAGAGAAAAGAGATTTATGTGATACCAATCAAAATAAATATATATACTAAATGCAAGCTCAGCGGACATTTAATATCTGTTATAATTAGAAATGACAAATATTAAATGCCCGCTAAGCTTGTATGTAATAATGATACGAACGATTACGATGCAGCGATCTACATCACGTGACCTTCGAAATTTTTTTGGGTGGTGATTCTACTCTCGTAGCATTAATCTGAGGCACAACATATACATTCGAAGAATCACTATCATCATAACGCAAAGTTATTTTGGCTCTTAATTGTAAATTTTTCAAATTTTGGGCCTTTATATGTAATTATTTTCACTTTGGGTCCTTATTTGTAATTATTTTCATTTTTCGGGCCCTTATATGTAAATTCCCCTAAAATATAATGCCAATTTGTAACTGATTGGAAATTAGTGCTTGGCAAAATCAAACTTTTGCTTGACACTCAAATACGTGTGACGATCTTGCTTTTAAATCAGCAATATGGTAATGCAATAATATAGCATATAATACAGTATTGCTATAAAATATGTATTTATTTAACATGCACTTAAGAAACACGAATAGAGACAGAACTTTTTATCTGACCAGTTCGGATAATCTGAATATGATATAATTATTCGGATAAATTTTAACTTCAGATTATTAGACCAGATTATCCGGTTATCCGATAATTAATTATGACAGTATGACGACAGTTATGAAAGTCAAATAGATTAAATTAAATATAAGTTTAATATACAATATTTCTAAAATTTACGGGTATTTAAAATAAAAAAAAAACTTTTTTTTTGTCTTATTTTTTTAGCCATGCTTTCATGTGTTGGAGTATTTTCAATTGAACTCTGAATAATATCATATGTAAATTCAAAGCCGAGTGCTATCTCCTTGGCAATGCGTAATTTGGTGGTCCATTGTCATCTCCATTATTATCCCTTGTTACTTAGAGTGAATAATATTATGATGATTAGGAACGCTTCGCAATAGTCTAAACTTATGAAATTTTTTTTATTTTTATTTTTATTTTTTTTAAACGCTCCTTCCGTCAACACTATATCTCGAATTGTGGTCTGTCGCAGTTGAGTGAGCAATCATTGGCATAAGGCCCAATTGCGTTTGCCATGGGTTTATCTTCATTCTCATTGCCGCCTTTATAAAGTTAGTGATTACTGTTTATATAAAGTCATTCAAATCAAACTCACCTCCTTTGATTGTCTGGACCGGACTTGTTCTGGTTGATGGTTCCACGATGCGCATCACCATGCTTAGCATCTTTTCGATCTGTTGACTTTACGTCAACTCGAATTAAATAGTACGACGCTTATACGTACAACAATGATTTCCTTTTAGCCTTAAATAGCAATCATTCTTTTATTAACGTTAACAATGACTTCTCCATTTATACCCTTATAGCTAACATGTGATGATCCTCGCGATAATAACCTTAGTATGGCTGATTTTTGGTCAAACCTCCAAAAAACAAATTACCGAAGAACATAACACAGAAAGTGCCGGCTAACTTTGTCCGTATTATGTTCTTTCGGGAATCTTATTTCGGGATTTTGACCCAAATTCAGCATGACTATCGTCATGCATCAGGTAATAATCCGTAGATTTGGTTTCGTTATACTAAAATACTGCAGTTTCTAAGTCAATTAAAGAACTAATGCAAACTGTTGTAGCTTTGTGTTACACTAACCAAATATTAAATGTTT